AGGAGCTCATTAGCAAAAGAGAATAAATGTCCTTCCTTCTTGTGCTGTGGATATTCTATTGGGTCCCTATCACATGTCAAATAAAACCACTACCTTTCCAGGCCAGCGAAGGGTTAATACCAGCCTGTTCCTTCTGGGACTGATTTTGCAGAGCAGCTCTGCTTGTCAGGTCAAGGAGCCACCAGTGCAAAGGGAACCAGCAGATACCAGAGCTGTCTTGACACTTGGGACTAGAAAGAAACCACAGCAGGTCAGTGAATTCTAACACTTTATAAATCCAATATACACTGCACTTTGTCCTTGCCTCCTAATAATTAGGTCAGAGAAAGAAATAAGGAAGGTTTTCAAGAGCTTGCACACAATTTTAGGGTGAAATTCACTCACGTGCGCTCTTGCTGACCCAGCTGGTTCAAGTGGGGTTCCAAAAATGCAATAGCTTTGTGCAAAACTTAGGCAGGCACCAACAGGACAAAGCACTGGGTGCAGTTCAGAGGCACATTCTGTCTAACTGATCTGTCTGGACCCAACCTCACGTGTGGTTCTAAGTGCTTGGTTTGGCAAAGTGTCTTTGGATATTTCAGTGTCTTTGGCAGTTTGGTCATTAGGAGTTTATGTGCTACTGAAATTCCAGCAGAGCAGGGATTAAATATTTAGCTGTATTTGGGGGTTTTGAAAAGGAATATCTTGGGTTTTAGAGTCTGAGAAAACTGGGGTCTTAGTAATAAAGTAATTCATACCTTAGTGATAAGAGAAGATCAATTATGCAAACTTGGTATGTCAAGATATTTTAAGAAAACAGACAAGCAGTTGATCCATGGAAACCAGAGCTTGGAGCAGTGATGCAGAGCAGACAAAATCTCCACAACATGGGGTACATCAAAAAAGCTTTAATTTGCTCATATAAATCTTAGGACCCAGGGATTCTCCCCTTCTCAGAAGAAAACTGATATTTTCATCATGACCTTGCAGGCTGCAATTTTACATAAATAACAATGGGAGAGACATTCTAGGAATAAAACTGTCTTTTCCAGCCATGACAAGTGGACTGCAAATAAATATGTGTCAAAGGAGCAGGTCTGGCTGGCAGCAGGTGATTTGTCTGCAGAAGACACAACAATCAGGGACATTTTGGACACAGGGCTGTGCACAGATCCAGGTGAGCTGCAGTAGTGGTGACAGCAGCACAGACACCTGCAGGAGATCAGGCACATGGAGTCTCTCTCCTTCCTTTTTTACACACTCACCCCTCTCTCCTTTTTCCCTGCAGATTTCAGCCCTTGCAGGAGGAGCTGAGGAGTGATGCAGGCAGTGCTTGGGGAAAAACCCAGCCCTGCTGAGACAGAAAACCTAAAGATTCCTGGAACAGCTGAGAAGCCAAAGGTTACCTCCCCTTCCTGCTGGGGGAACAAACCTGCTGCTGAACAGCACTGTTAGGCAATTTTATTGCTGTTATCAACTGAATGATTTTGCTTGTAGATGGCTTGTCCTTTCAACAGAACAGGCCTCTGGGAGCCCCTGCCTCAGCCAGACTCCTGCAGGGGAAGTTTTGCCCTCATTGCAGCTCTAACAGGAGCAGTCACTGGTTCCCTTGGTCTCTGCACTATGGGCAGGTTCCTGTCCTGTTTGCCCAGGATGGGAAAGTTTGCAGCTGGAACAAAGATGAAGCCCAGGTGTTGATGGCCAGAGTTATTGTCAGGACTCCTAGGATGTTGAGTACAACCCCAGCTTTGGCCTGGAATTGTAAAAGAGAAAGGTTTAGCTGGAGTGAGGACTTTCTTTCTTCCCTGCTCATTAGGATTGTTTGTATGGTTGGATTTTTCCCTTTGGCCTTTTTTCTCACCTCCATCAGAACTCAATCACATCACATTTAAGCTGGTTTTTGTCACAAATATAATTTATATTAGGGAAAAATGAGTTTCCACTGGGTAAAACTCTTAAACTAGAAGTCCTGAAATCCTTTCAATCCACTTATGTAGGACTTATTCCTCTGACTTGGCACCTGTTTCTAAAGTTACTTTGGATTTCTTCTTGGTTCAATTACAAATTAGAAAAGTTACCAAGAGACATGGTACCCTTGTCCTTCTCTCCTTAACAGTGAGAAAGGGCCCCAGGGCAGCCTAGGGGGATGTGCCAGGCTTTCCCCATGTCCCTGCAGAAGGACTGTCCAGATGATGGGACTCTGACACCCCTATGATCTACATTTGGGCTTTTGGAACTGTTAGACATTCCCACTCCTCACTGACAGCAACTCTTGCTGGAACATCTTCAAGAGGCCTTGGGTGGTTTTCAAAACCTCAACAGCATCTCCACAAGGTTTTGTGTGTCTACCAAGAGTCTGTGTAACCCTTCACTGATTCCTGCACATATGCTGCTGTTTTCCACCTGAGCTGAGCACAGTGAGTTTTCTAACACTCT